CAGGCTTGTCGTAGACGAATCTTTGTATACCTCTTATTTGCTGTTAATTATTGCTTATATTATTCATACTTACCACAATTTTTTTCGTCTGAACCGTCTCCACAGTCGTCGTTGCCGTCACAGAGATAGTGTTTTGGAACACAATATCCTGTATCTGAACACCGCATGGTAAACGCACGACATTCTGCAAGAAGAGCGAAATGACAAGCATATTACAATAATCAAGTTTAAAGTTATTTCCGATAGGTACAGTATTGGAATCAGTGTGTTAAAATAATTCACTCACCACAGCCCTTCTCGTCGCTTTTATCGGAACAATCAAAGTTCATGTCACAGACAGGAGAGGGATGATCAGGTCGTCGCGTTATTTTTTCACCATTGTTACATACAAAGGTCACTATGAATATAAAAAAGTATTATTATACTCAAACAGCGAATAGAATTAAAGATGCAATCAAAAGTATACAACAATTATTCTAAATGTAGTATGCAAGGTAAGTCTAATAATACTCACTTTGTAGGTATGCTTTTATTTTTAAGATAGCAAATTTATTTTTTTATATTTTATAGGGCATTGACAGTTAGACACGTTTGACAGTGCATTTATGAGTTCTTTAGATATCACGGTGAAATTCGCAATTTCAATATCACAGGACAGAATAGTAGTAACAATTATATATGACAGTGATATATTTGAAAATTAACTTACCACAATCCTGTTCGTCAGAATTATCACCACAAGAGTCATATCCGTCACATCGATCATAATGCCACTTACAAATACCATTATCACATCGAAATCTATCAGCACTCTCATCACATGCTAAATAAAACAAATGAGATATTTTAGGCCATAATAAAGTATTTGTAATTTATTATTCCTATAATCTTTACATTGAAAAAATGTAAAATGAAACTACCAGACAATATATGGGATTTCTACGGTTACAAATTTCACAAAACACCATTTATTCAAGAACAAAAATTAAATAAAAATATACAAAACAACATATCTTAATATTGGGAATCAAAAAGGCATACAATTTTAGTTTCTTAGCAATGAGCTAGACAGTGCTGTGATATACCTCATAAACATAGAATGACCAGAAACTTACGACAATCTTGTTCATCACTTTGGTCATCACAATCGGCATATCCATCACAAGAAAAGTTTCCTTGAGGTCGAACCTGTCCATCATCACATACATAGTACACTGCAGAAAAAATATTATTTACGGCTTGCTATGTACTTTGAATTCTGCGCTTACCAATGTGTTATATATTTAAACAATAATGAATCCATATAGCAACATATTGGAAAATGGTCAATGCCAAGTCGACGGTGGTCGTCGCACCGCGTAATGTTCTGTATGGGACCAATAGCGACGTATACACGTGTAAAGCTCATTGTGTATATGAAATTCGATAACGCGCTCTGCGACGATCGCCGCGCAATTAACCTCAACATATATATCTCAAAGTCTGGTTCATGTTGATGTATTGGGCAACAATGAGAACATAAAACGTGCCAAACTTTCTTTGTTCGATTAGGGTCTATAGTTAAACAGCAATGAGTAACGCGATCATAATAAGTTGTCTCCACATTTTGTTTATGATTAGAAAAATAACATTATGCCACACTTCTCACATTTTGCAACAAATTGGTGCTATGAAAAGTTCCAAAAATGAAAAAAATCCTACGATGAATATTTGTTTTTTTAACATTTTTAAAATATGATCTGAAATCTGCCATAAAAAACAACAATATTAATATAGTTTCGTCCGTGTCGTTATTCATTAATACTTACTACGTTGACAAAAACAAATATTTGCATCTCATAATGTAACTCACCACAATTATTCTCATCACTGTTGTCACCACAGTCATCGTGGTTATTACATATGCTATACTCAGGTTTACATAAACCATTATCACACTCGAACGCGCCTTCTTCGCATTCTAGAAACATGAGGTATCAAGGTTAATTGAAAACAATCAATCACTTGTCGAGTTTAATAGCGATTCCCGCCATACAACATAAAAATATAAACGCCACACACAACGACAGCAACAATAACAACAACAACAATATAAAACGTAAATCAAATCAAACAAAACAATGATTTTATCAACATATCGTTGTCTGGTTTTCTGTATGAAGACATTGATTTGCGACTTATGCTTGAACGCAGTACAAGCTCTGTTGTGGTTCAACTATGCACTAGAAATGCCGTTGAACTCACGGACGGACTCACGAATACCATACACCAAGGGTTTAAAACATTGTATAATGGAATCTTACCACAATTCTTCTCATCCGAATGGTCTTCACAATTAAACCAATTATCGCACTCCGCATCGAAAGGAACCAAACTTCCGTCGTCACACTGAAAATCAGCTGAATAGACATTTGGAAACGAGGTAATACTCATGAGTGAATTTCTGGAAAATTACAATTTGAAGTGTAACGATAGCAAATGTATGCGGAAATAATATTTTGGATTCTCTTTGTGAGTAAAATGGGAACATGTGGTTACTTTGTGTTGTAAATGGGAAAATGCTGACATAAAATCACAAAACTGTTTATCAACAATCAATGTCATGAAATTGATTTAGCTGCTACATAATTATAATTAGTAATAAGCAGTCATTGGATACGTCAAATAGCATTTAATGATTGGCCGTTTTCATCGACAATGTCATTGTTTCGTACATTCAAGGCATACGTTCATAATTAATAATTCAAAGTACTGTCACATTACGGCAGTCACATGTATCTCAGTGATCTTTGTACATGCAAAAGAATAACAAGAGTAAAATTGTGTAACATTCAAAGCACAATATTGTGATAATTTTATACAAACCCACCACATAATTCTGCACTTTCATCAGATCCATCACTACAGTCTTCAGCGCCATTACATCGCAGCCAAAGGCCGACACAACTACCATCTCCACACGTGAACTCGTAGTACTCGCATATTATATCTATCAATATGATTATGTATAATATGTAAATGTTATTGTTCCGTCAATGTTAATATAAACAGACATGATTTAATGAATGGTAGGACGTAGTACAAAATAAAAATGTCGTCATGTCCCAGCAAGAGTTATGTTAGATGTTTTAGATTGACGTATTGTTTACTGAATTACATATCATTGGTGTTGAATGATGAAGGGGTCAGATATTAATTTTGTTTTAGGGTGAAGTTTAGTGTGACACAAGTAGTATGTTTGACTATTAATATGACCAATATCACATTTATAAAGCCCTTAAGGAGTTTAAGACTCGATATGGTTTAATTCTACTCAACAATTGTACTGACTATTAAACTTTTTTAAATTGATATATCCAATTTGTTAATAAACATTACTGAACAAAAGTACATTTACGACCACACCATCAATTTATGTTACCTACCAAGATTTACCACCACCACCACTACCACTGCATAACATTTCTATCCCCTGCAAACACTAACATCACTAAGTACCCCTTAGATCAACGAACACACAAGGTAGAATAGAAGATATTAAAGCAGTATCTGTACTTTTACAGTTCAAGTAGTAGTCACTCGGAACTTCAAAAATAATTTTTATGTCGGGAGAAATTTTTCAAAATATAACAAATTGATAGTGAAATTATAAATTATAAACATCATTGATCCATCTCTAGGGGAGTTTTTTAAGCCGGCCACAATAACAATAAGTGTGTGGTTTCCCGAGAGATGTGTGACAAGGTGATGTCCAGCTGCTGGAATAATTTAAAAACAAATATAAAATAGTAGTAAATCAATTGTCTTAAAACACATTAGTAATCATACAACTAAAAACTTAAGTTGTGTCACAATAACCGCATTCAGCTTCATTATTCCGGGAAAATTAACATACTGATATGTCCCTATGCGCAGACTGGTGACATTACTATTATACACGATTCAATGTATCATGCACCTAAATGTATATCAGATTACTTCAGATATGTAAACCAATCATCCAAATTATATATATAACACACGACTGCACTCCAGTGTGTTTCAGATTAAAAATACAAGCAACAATACCCAACTATAATCCAAACAATCAATGTCAAAAGGCAATATTTAAAAATCCGAGAACACACAGGGGACACACAAACAAAACAAACAACACACTGTCAAATTGGTGAGAGAGATATATAGACATCAAGGCATAAGCCAAGAGGTGATGTCAGGTTTCGAAAAGAGTATGTAATAGGCTATAGGCCGACACAACTATCATTTCCACATTTGAACTCGTAGTTGTCGCATATTATATCTATATGAATATGTATAATATCTGAATATTATAGTTCCGTCAAAATGAATATAAACGGCATGATTTAAGGATGCTGTATAGGTTTTTGGTATTGATTTTCTAAACGGGTGTTTCCAGCTAAAATATTTACTGAACCATACAAAGCTATATATTGATTGAAAGCTTATTTCACACTGAATGTGAAATCGACAGTGTAGTGTGTTTATGGACGTGCATAGTCACGTGATCTCTGTGTAAACACAGAAAGCCATTTTCGGTAGAGAAATAATTGAACCAATGAATAAACGAATTTTGTAGAAGATTTGCAACAAAACAGTTTTTTCAGACGACGCTCACAACCATTCTGCGTTATTTGAGATATATATGTACATGATAGTTGTGGAAGGAATAATAATTTAGCTATCTTGAAAAAACAATACGATTTTGTTTTTTCCGGTATTCAGAAATTGGAACGTAATTTCGAAACAAATAGGAAAAATCCCAGAGCCGCTTTAGATGTTGTTGATAGAAGAACGTATTAAGTAGCCGAAAATACAATCTACGTCATATCTCAGCAAGCGTTTGGTGTGTTTTAGTGACTTCATGTTAACTATATTACATATCAGTGGTGTGATTGATGAAAGGATTACATTCAAGATGATGATTCTGCTTCCGAGGCAATACGTTAATATACCAATCAAATATAATAATACCTTATTTTCAAAGCTCCGAATGCGTGGCAGTTAATTTAATCCTACATGCTGTAGATGATCCTATTTGTAACTTTTGTGTTACTACGTCCAGAATGTCCGGAAACGTTTGGTGTAAGTTTAGTCAAGGAAAGCTTGATGTGAAACATTCATTTTATGGTCAGGATTTACTGATAATATAAGGGGACAGATTTGCCTAAAAAATATCAATTCATATTGACGAATTTCAGGAATGAGATGCCGCCCATATGTTGTTGTTTTTTTATTTAAATTGGTAATAACCTACTTTAAGGTAAACATGGATCGTTTTAACAGATTGTCTCACCGTCGTCCATTGATTAACATGTTAAATTCACTTTACATAGATTTTAGACATTTTATATGGATACAGAATAAAAACAAAATAAAAAACTGCGTTTATAGAGTACAAATGATCACTTACCACAGCCAAGTTCATCACTACCATCATCGCATTCATTCCACCCCGTACAGTTAGCGTCTTTACGAACGAATTGGCCATTAGCACATTTATAATGCCCTAAAATGGTTTAAGACAAGATATGGTTAAATTTTACTTATAACAGTACATCCCTCGATCTTAGTCTCAGTAACTGTAAAAGCAAACTTCTTTGAATTGATATTATATATTTGTAAATAAATATTATTGAACATTATTTACTACCACGCCACTACTACCAACACCACAATTATCAATTACTACTTATATCAACAAACACACAAGACAGGATGGAGGATATGAAGGGCAAAATCTGTTCAAAATCAGTTTCATTAGAAGTCATTCAGAATTGCAATAATCATTTCGTCAATACGCAGGTGAGAAATTATTCAAAATATAACGGAAAATTGATTACGAACAGCATCTAGAAGATTTGTAAATAAACTGGCTACAACAAAAATTGCATCTTGCTGGATAAATTCAACATATTATACTAAAATAAATATACCACAGTAATAATTTACTTATCACGTCAAATTCGTAGTCCAAAACTTTTTTTGTTAACTTTAGCAAAACATTTGTTACAATTGACAATATAATTCATAATGGTTAAGCTCCATCTCGTGTGTGTATATATGTCTGCAATGTTACTATCTGTAACTATCACGGTTGTATGTATCGGTTCCCAATGACCGCCTGATTTTGACATTCGTCCATTTTTGTTTGTTTGCCGATGATTCAATTTGGTTTCACAAAGCTCGGTGTAAGCCAGTACAGTACATTTCAATGAGATTAATTGTATTTTGATGAATGTCTTGTCATGACGCAATTTTAATAATCTACAAAAAAACAATTATACAGTTATATTTAGAGATCAGAGAAAAAGGGAAATGTGCCAGTTTCAATTATAATTCAGAGTACTTATTTAAAAGAAGTTGGTAATGTACAATTTTTTGGAATTCAATTCAAAATTAAGTACAGTGTGTCACATTAGTCATCATTCAACTACACATCTTTGTTGTGTCACGATAACTGCATTTGGCTTGTTTACAAGTCATTCAGTTTCATTATTCCGGGAAAGTTGACATAATTGGTATATTCCAAATACACGGGCTCATGACCATTTTGTTTATACACGATTCAATGTATCATAATGCACCCAATCGTATATCATTTTACTTCGTATATATAAATCAATTTAGCAAATTATCTATATAACAAACGACAGCACAGCACGATTTAATGTATTATAATTCACTCTACTGTGTTTCACATTATATCAAATATGTAAATTATCTATATAATACAAGACATCTTAACGGATGTTATATTGCAGATATTAACGATGAAAGATTTAAAAGTACCTGTACGCTAAGTACCTGAGTGATTGCTAGGCTTAACAAAAACTTTTTAAAATATCAGATTCTAAAATTGCAATTTTGTAGAGCTGTGGGGGTTAAAATAAAACAACAAACACTAAAATATCCTGAGATGGTTCTGCATGCGAAGGTACGTTTATATCTTAAATCACAATCACAACTTATCATTCAATCTTACCACAGTTTTCTTCATCGCTGTTATCGCCACAGTCATCATAGAGGTTACACACAGAATAACTTCCGTCAATACATTTACCGTTTGTACATTGAAATTGATTGTCTGTGCATTCTATAACAAAATAAAAGGTTTATATGAGTCACGCAAGATCCAATGTTCAAATGTAGTTGCATATATCAAAGACATATAAGCTGTTTGCATACTTGTATTACACACTCAACCTGAGACTGGTCGGTAATTCTATTCATACATCAAAGCACAATGCACTTCCTCAAAAAATAACATGCCATTGTCGCTTTGTGTCGTCACAAGAAGCGCTGTCTCAGCACAGTCCTGTGTCATATGACGCTTTACTGGCCGATTAGGCTAAGATAGCCCTTCGCCGCCTTTTTACACCAGTGTTTATACACGGGACTTGATAATTCTTTTTACAATTTAAGTTGCTGGTCAATCACTTATTTTAGTGAAATATTGTTTAGCGAGTGGAATATTAATGTCATGCATAATTCAATCTTTGGATCAGCAGAAACTAGGCCATATTAATGATAATAAAATTCGTGTTTGAAGTACGAAATTTCATTCATCATTATTTAGTAAAAAAATCACTGAAACGATTGACTTCGAAACGTTCGAAGTTTCGAACAAACTCACAGCACTCCCTGCGCCATATGCGTCACATCGGTGTTGAAAGAACACCGACCTTCAGCGTCAATGGCCATTGCCGTATTTGACAATTGTGTTACGTAATTGCTAAAAAATGATCAGACAATAAAGGTTTATTTTATTGCCTTTCATCGGTTGATCGAATTCATTAAAACAATCCACAAGAACAAGTACATCACAATATATTGTCCAACAGCAGGATGTATACAAATATGACTATAATTACTTTAATCAGATTGTGAATCATGTGCCACTGTGATAATATACATTTCAAACACAATATAGCAGTGCATGATCGAATAGAGCTTCTGGTGCTAGTCAAAACCTTGTAGAGGTGAAGGACCTATTTTCAATGAAATTGTATTGCAATAATTTACAAAGCAATGGTAAACATCCATGTGCCCTGTGACAGCACAGCAATGCTATTCTATATTTATCATTTGAGAGTCCATCTGCACTCACGTAAGTTTGTCCAAGTGATGTGTTTACTCAAAGCCCTATACTGGTGTTCGTTGTTACGTAATCCTGTACTCACCACAATTGAGTTCATCAGTGAAATCTTCACAAATAGGCCAACCATTACATCGATCCCATGGACTGAAACATTTACTACTGTTTTTACACTGTTCCATGGGAGGACTGCAATCAGCTGTGAAACACACAGAATTATATGTAATGCGGTTGTTCATCTGGATACTATTTTTCAAATAGGTTTTATAGCGAAACGTCGCTTTTTTTCTGAGCAAATTTGCTTTCTGCATTAAAAACTACCCCAGAAGCAAAATGTGTATATTGATCTTTAAGTGGGATTGAATCGCCCAAACATTTAGACCTTTTTACATTTAATTTGGTAGCATGCGCGAGAACTGCCAAAATCACTATTTAGTTGTACATACCGCTATTTTGAATGACCATGCGTGTAGTAAAATACGATTGAATGCGATCAAGGATGTTGTCAACTAGATGTAGCTAAATGCACCTACGTTGCATTTTGGTAAAGATATGACTATTTTAATTTTATCGGACTATTTGTGATACTTTGGATTATTGCTTTACATGTATTCACGTTTTGGTTAAATCTCTAAATTAAACCTGTGTAGCGTATTTTATTCAACCTTCAATACTTCATTCTATTCATTTTAGTACTTGAAAATAAGATTAATTCTGTCTTTTGTTGAATACTTCACTTAAATAGTTATGGCATAAATCATCACCAATTCCACAAACTCATAGGAAATAGCAATCTTGACAATTCCCATTTTCTATCATCGTAATATTATTTCGGAAGTGAGGTCGAAGTACAATCAATCTTATATTTGCAAGGTTTTGTGTACCTTGCATAGTTATATAAAATTACGACTCCCGTGATATTCAACAAACCACAATAAAGGATTATTAAAAATTGATAATAGTTCGTAAGAACATTATCAGATTGTTATATGTCTTTTACAATTGATTTGTGGTAATTTTTTCAGCGTGCATATTTTGATTTGGAAAACTATGAATTATATTTTATGAACCTGGAAAAATTGGAAACATTTATTGGCTGAAAATGGAATATATGTTGGACTTAGTTACGTATAATGCATCACAATTACATTGTAACATTACATTATCATCGTCTATTAATGCAATGTAAATAATGCGTTATTATTATTATAAACTTTGCACGAATAATTGTTGGGAAAACTTACGGCAATTAACTTCGTCTTCTCCATTGGCACAGTCAGGATTCCCATCACAAACTTGCTCCATAGTAATACAATTTTCATCACCGCACCGATACATAAAGTCTCTGAAGCAATAATTACCATAACCACTAGGAATGGAAGCTACAATGAAATGATACATTTTATAATTTAATGAGTTTAATGTATCTAATATGATTTACTACTTTTTTAACTTGTCTGAATACTGCACACTACCGGCAATTTCCTCTTGACCTGGCTCGACTTATATAACCTGATATGCCAAATCTTTACAACTGATACAGCGACTTTCAAATTCAATAGAAGATTCATTAATATTTATGCATAAAAGAAAATAATCAGAATATTAAATAATTTGACGAACACTGAGGTTGCTAATTTTCGGGACCAACGGGATAGATGCATAGTGATGTTCCCTAGTTGCGTCATCCCTATATTAACTATATAGTGGGCAACGTACCATTTAGGTGATAAATTACAACCAAGTGCGAGAAACATACCATGCTAAACCATAACATACCAAATATGAATTAAGGCTGATCATTAAGATTTGACGAGGAATTGGTAGGTTGTGAATATGTCACTTGAAGTATATTACTTATTGTATTGTATTTGATAATTCACATTAGGAAATGTTCGCTTCGAACTTTTTATGATACGGCATTATTTATACATTTCGTTGTGTACTAACATGTTTACTGATAATGTTTTTGGACCAACACTTATGGATGAAAACCTTTCCAATTAGACTCAACCAATGTGTTAAGTGTTTATGATTGTTGACGATTACTATGTCTTCAAGTCATATTTGGTAAAGAAAGATGTTCTTGTTAATATTTTTCGCATGCTTTTACTCTATGCAACATGGAAATTAATGTATCAGTATGTCTACTCACTAACAAATATCGCATAGGCAATTACTTTTACTGATTACTTATTTCATTACTATTTTTAATTTCTTGCATTAAAAAAAACAAATTTGTTTGTAATATTTTCTAAATTAATTTGATCAGTATCTGTCTCTATTCATATTTCTGAAATCTCAATAAAAAAGATTGTACATGTTTGACTATTTTGTGTCATAGTTGATCTCAGATTTACTAGTTATTTACCGAGATCTGTCATAGTCCCTATCTAAATCTTTGAGATAAAGAGCTATTAAGTGATTTACTCTGCTTTACAAAAAATGTTTTTTAAAAATTGTTGATTTGTTTGAAATTTTGGTTTTATTGGATATGAATATTCTTATTTATTCTTTTTATTATAAGCCACATAATTTTTGATAGGATTTATTATGGTTTTTCACGGTGGCAATATAGATAGGGTTGTTCAAAAACTATTGTTGAATGTCCAAATACATTGTCAATCTGGTGGCAGAAGCAGGCACAAATTCATTACGAACGGTGATGGTGATGTTCGAATATTTTACCATTTTGAGCTAAACAAGATAAACAACAGTAAGTGTAATTTGTGTTTATTAGATGAAATTTTATCAGTAATTTCGACCTTTGATGAATCTAGGATGCAGTTAAAATCTGTACCAGTGTACCATTGTCGAGATGAAATTGTTCACAGACGTAATGTACACGTCAAATATCAAAGCAATCGGGTTGGTAGTACAAACAAAAATCGAAGGTAAAAAATTTTACTAAAACTTACAAAAATATTTTTTTTAATAGAGAATTGACAATATCGTCACAAAATGAAAAATCTAAAAGAGATTCACCCAAAGTACTTACATACCAAATATCAAGGCAGTTGTTTCAATTGAATTTCAATGAAACGTTTCGTAAACATGTTAATTTTTTTTTATAAAATACGTGAACAGCTATTTTGAATGCGTGTATTGATAATTATCAATAAAACATTTGACCTACGACAGTTTTCTTCATCTGAATTATCATCACAATCGTCGTAACCATTGCATATATCCTTCTCTGGTACTAAGATACCATTCTTGCATTCCTTTAAATCTGTACATTGAAAAAAATATAAAATACTTTACCTAAACACGTCATTCTGATTGACCAATATACCAAGGATAGACCTTATGCGTGCATAACATACAGTTGCAGTAAATCTGGATGTCAAGAGAAATCGGCAAGGAGTTGACATGTTGAAGATTTCAACTCTAGGATGTTTTATTTCTAATGAGATGCATGTGAAATTTTCTTTTTACCATTATGTTAAAGACGTCAAAATATAATTGCCATATGGAGTTATAATTAATTATTTGGTTTTTTGGTGAATAAAAATAATTCCTCATCCTGCAACTACATTTATAATACGTTCGTAAAATTTCGTAAAGTATAATAGCAATGAACCACCGCATCAGTGTACTTGTGTATATATTTTGTGAATTGTTCAATATTTCGTGGCATCATCTAGTGCTGTGATTTATTTATTAGATATGTTATTAGTAAAGTTGTTTCATGTATAAGGGACATGCGTTGGTATATATGGAGGTTACGGCACAATATTTAATCAAGTGCACCGACCGACATCCGCTTCAAAAATGTTTAACTTTGATGATTTGTAGCACTAGAATCTTGAATCGAATCTTGCAACAAAATTGCGTCTAAATTATAGGCAGGCACACATGGACGGATGCATCACCGAAGGGATTATACATATTTTAATTAATGAACCGAACATTCTTAGAAAATAACCATACCCAGGGGAATTGTTGGAATATCTTAACAAGTTACACCAGTAATCATATAGAGTAAAATATCTTGATATAATATGCAATAAGTATTTACCACAACCGTCCTCATCAGACCAATCACCACAGTCGTTATAACCATCACATCGGCTCCATTCATCATAACAACTACCATCGGTACACTTAAAGTGTGATTCATTACACTCAGCTTGAGGTTCTGTTGACAACATTAATATTGTGTGCCATTGTGAAAATGTAATTTTATTTTCAGCGTACCAAATACACGTCTGGTCGACAATACGGTCATGCCAACAAATATATTATCTTGATGAGAAGTCCTTGTGATAAATAATCCAAGTGGTCTTGCATCAAACATGTTTGACTTTCGCTGATAATGTAGATCACGTTCAGACTGTAAGATGTGCATGTGAATAACTCATCGAACACGTTCCATCGAAGATGCACGCATTTGATTAAAAGGTAACGACAATGTGTTTTATGATCCCAGGTAACATGGTCGGATCCAGTGACCATATGATTTGATACAAGTGTTGTTTTCTAATAGTACAAATATCATTTGTAACTGTAAAATATGTCCGATGCTGATATTAGTCTGATATCGAACTGTTCACAATGATCCTTTTTGTTAAGAATCACGATCCATGGGAGTTCCACCAAAGAAGAACAAATATGGAATTTCACATAAAAAATGTCCTATCTGTGATGTTACCAATCTTTAGCCATACATGTGCATACAACCAATAAGGATTATTGAATATGAAGAGCTTACCACACCCAGATTCGTCACTACCATCTGCACAGTCTTCATAGCCATCACATACAGAGAACCGATGCACGATGCCACCATTGGTGCAAACAACTAAATATAATGAAAAACAACAACATCAACAACTGAATGTGCATTTAACATATATGTAATTGTAATTATACTGATGAAATACGTGCCTCGTATTAATGCAATGAATATACACTTACAATCGAAATCTTCACAATTCAGCTCATCAGAACCATCGAGACATTGTGGATAACCATCACAAACAAAATGTATAGATATCATTCTTCCAAACTCACACTCAAATCGTGGCACAGCTGAAATGACATAGATGGTGAAGGGGTTTACAAGCATACATGATTCAAGGCATAATTGAATACGCCACAGAGATAGTAAGGTAACGCATCTAATACTCACTATATCTACTTAGAGATTCATCACTGCAACAGGTAACAGTCAGGTAACTTACTGCATTTAGTTGGTGATTCATCACTGCCATCGTGACAGTAAGGTAACCCATCACATACTTACTACATCTACTTGGTGATTTATCACTGCCATCGAGACAGTCAGGTCACCCATCACGTACTTACTGCATCTAAATGGTGATTTATCACTGCCATCAAGACAGTCAAGTAACCCATCACATACTACTACATCTACTTGGTGATTTATCACTGCCATCGAGACAGTCATGTAACCCATCACATACTTACTGCATCTACTTGGTGATTCATCACTATCATCAAGACAGTCAGGTAACCCATCACATACTTACTGCATCTACTTGGTGATTCATCACTGCCATCGAGACAGTCAGGTAACCGATCACATACTTACTGCATCTACTTGGTGATTCATCACTGCCATCGAGACAGTCAGGTAACCCATCACATACTTACTGCATTTAGTTGGTGGTTCATCACTGCTATCAAGACAGTCAGGTAACCCATCACATACTTACTGCATCTACTTGGTGATTCATCACTGCCATCGAGACAGTCAGGTAACCGATCACATACTTACTGCTTCTACTTGGTGATTGATCACTGTCAACAAGACAGTCAGGCAATCCATCAAATACTTACTGAATCTAGCTGGTGATTCATCACTGCATCAAGAGAGTAGGGTACCCTATCACATACTTACTGCATCTAGTTGGTGATTTATCACTGCCATCAAGACAGTCAGGTAACCCATCACATACTTACTGCTTCTACTTGATGATTGATCACTGCCATCGAGACAGTCAGGTAATCGATCACATACTTACTGCTTCTACTTGGTGATTGATCACTGTCAACAAGACAGTCAGGTAACCGATCACATACTTACTGCTTCTACTTGGTGATTCATCACTGTCATCAAGACAGTCAGGTAACCCACAACATACTTACTGCATCTACTTGGTGATTCATCTCTGCCATCAATACAGTCATGTAACCCATAACTTACTTTCTGCATCTACTTGGTGATTGATCACTGTCAACAAGACAGTCAGGCAATCCATCAAATACTTACTGAATCTAGCTGGTGATTCATCACTGCATCAAGAGAGTAGGGTACCCTATCACATACTTACTGCATCTACTTGGTGCTTCATCACTGTCATCAAGACAGTCAGGTAACCCACAACATACTTACTGCATCTACTTGGTGATTCATCTCTGCCATCAATACAGTCATGTAACCCATAACTTACTTTCTGCATCTACTTGGTGATTGATCACTGTCAACAAGACAGTCAGGCAATCCATCAAATACTTACTGAATCTAGCTGGTGATTCATCACTGCATCAAGAGAGTAGGGTACCCTATCACATACTTACTGCATCTACTTGGTGATTCATCACTGCATCAAGAGAGTAGGGTACCCTATCACATACTTACTGCATCTAGTTGGTGATTCATCACTGTCATCAAGACAGTCAGGTAACCCATCACATACTTACTGCATGTACTTGGTGATTCGTCACTTCCATCAAGACAGTCAGGTATCCCGTCGCATGCTTGGTTCTCTTGTAAACAAACCACTCCATCATCACATACAAATTCTTCTGGGTAACAATCTGACATGAAATAAATGTGTGTATTACGTGAGAGTTCTTACATGTATTCGAATTTTTATAAATATTGACAAATCTTGACCATTGGCATATATTATAATAATGTTTTGTTCTGATCATTATTGTATTTTGAAAATAAAATGTTAGTGTGACGCACATCGAGTACAGCTTTACTGCCTACTGATTACCATAGTTTTTTTTATAAATAATATTCACCAGTGACATTTAACTGCGTATCCCTATCTCTTGTATGTGGAATGATGTGGGAAACCCACCAAGTTAAGTAGCCTGTTTCAATGCTTCAGTGAATTCATAGTTTGTTATACCCTTCCAAGACCTTGTGGTGAATGGAGCTAAATGCGATGATTGACCATTAGTGATCGCAAAACGGTAACTGGTTATTTGATTAGCAGTCGATGCTTATGGGGCAACTGAACTACATACTGGGGATGTTAGTGGTGAAAATGTTGTTGTTTTTTGATATATATATATATAAGCAGAATTTACGTGTTGGGTTGACACATACAGATTTTCAATCGCTGTGGTATGAAAGCTGTAAATCTTATTCGAAGTATTGAGGACGGAGATCGGAATCTGATTGTTCAAATTAGTTCAACAAGTTTGTAATTTAACTTCAATTGAAGCTCGTACTTTAAACACTGCTGGAAGTAACTTTTAAATGGTTAAACTGACTGGAGGAACTGTTGAGACTGCGAAAGGACGCACAGTGTTGGTGAAATGTGGTCAACAGCTGTACTAGCGACATCTACGACTGGGATTTAAACTTAATGTAGATGCATGACAGACTCAACTTGATTTGAAGGAATTTTGTTTTGACTCGGGATCACTACGAATTGAGTCACACTAGGCGACAAATAATTCAGTATGATAAATCATATGAATTGATAAACATTCAGTGTGAGATAATTTGGTTATGAGAGACACAAGAATGTGGATCACTGTCGGCTTTCATTTGCCTTATGGATTTTGCGGCAAACTTTACAAATTAAACGAAACTGAGGCGTATAAAAAATTATTGCTTTTATACACAACAAACGCGTTGTTATGTTTTCAATTCATTAATCGTAGCACGTAATGCAGTCTATTGCGCCATACGATTCTTTATCCCACCTCATCTCACTAGGAACGTTGGGTTGCAAACAGGAACATTCGAACGTTTTCATAAAGAACGCGGCTCTTATGTTGAACGTTCTAGTTTCAATGACGAATACGAGCAAACAGTGCGAGATAAGAATGACATGGGAGGGAACGATGCGTACCGTGACAAAATGATTAATTTATGATTTGTGTATGTATATGCGATATAACACATGAAAGATGAACTTAACAACAATGCAACACAAAACTAACTGCAGTCATTATATACCCATTCATACTGTGAAAATACTGTACCTTGTTTTGGTTCTATACACGTCATACCACAATCAGTATCACAACATTTCTGGTTGAAAGGACATTCTGCGTCATGTTGGCATCTAATATCACATGACAAACCAGTGTTCGTGAATGGACAACGGCCAGGCTTCAAACCTAAATCAATGGATACAATAACTGAGGGTTTTAGCTTATCTATTTTCATTGAACTTCGTGAACTTATACCCCGATGAATGTATTAATCTAAACATTGAAATTAAGTAATAGTGAAAATAAACGATTTCACAGCTGCAGTGGTTAACCATAACCTGTGTAAAGTTTTGATTCACATTCAAACGAAAGATTGTAATTCGCTACCGCGGTGCGAATTTGTCCCATTGTAACATTTACGCGCGAAGTCCATATCACATCCAGATGGTGGGACTTAAGAAAGTCGTTCAATAATCGATCGGATTTTTACGTTAATTTTGAGAACTGCTTGTTTTATTTTGAATGATAAGTTAAACGTAAATACATTCCTCACACTCGACGAGAATTTCGTTCGGTCGCGTACGATGATTTAGCATGGGAAATAATAGTTTAAAGCAAATTTACTTACAATTAATGTTTAACCAAACTAAATCTGAGCACAGTGGTATATAGTGATATTTACCTTTACAAACTGGTGGTGGCTGGTTGGGAGCCGTCGCTGTATAAGCAATATAATTTCCATACTTATTCACACATACGCACATGCCTCTCTTCAAACATTGTGTCGGTGAAAAACTGCCGTCTTTCTCACACTGATATTCCATGTAGCCATAATCAATGTTCTGCTTCAATGCCAAAGCAAATTCATGACAGTACTCAGGTTCTTCCTTCACGTTAATCACATTATCTAAAATCACAAATCATCATCAAATAACAAACAATGGAATCACATAGATTTATACTATGTGTTTATTACATGAACACAACAAAGTGTGAACTAAAGCACTGCGGTGGTCATACTTGTCGATCGATGCGATTTCGTACAGCCTGAGTGCATACTTTGCGGTATTCTTGTGATCACCTAGTGGTTATACATCTTACGCTGCTTACAGAGGTTCGAACGTGCTCGTAACAATATCGTAACACATTCGTACGGCTTATTACGAATGAATGAATAATATTGCATTTGGTGCCCTATGAATAATAATGTATGAATAATGTTGTATATACTGTATGGACAATAATACCGATGGTGTGTAGGTATTATGTGTAAACTCGGCGTGCCAGTTGTTTGACGCATTTCATTTTTTATAAGTATATAAGGATTCGATACTCGTACACTCGCGAAAGAATACCGGGCTTTCTAAAATGCTGAAAAAATGCGTTCACTAATGTTCGAAAACTACTAACACCGTGAGTGCTGTTGTCTCACCTAATATTTACAATGCGTACAACATGCCCAGGTCGTGTAATTTATGTGTTTATTATTGCAATGAGTCGAAATAATAAAACGTATGTGTACAAGTACATACCTTGGTTTTTAGCTGCACATATTTGATACAGTATACAAAACACCAGCACAACACTTCCTATTCTCTTCATTTTGCAATAGAGTCATTCACTGTTCCCAAACTGAACAAGATTTGATATTTATAGCAATGACACGGAAATTATTGTCAGTAATTATTGGGTAGTTGTCTGTCGGAAATAGCGTCCCACTATTCCCCAATTATATTATATTAACATTAATCAACTGAAAAGTCAATTAACAGTACCTAATTATGAACTGACCTTCAATTTGTATTCAAGTTACCATTGTATATTTCAATGCTGAGCGGCATAATTTTATTTGATTCCTGTTATTGTCCACGTTACCAAAAATTTTAGCGATATCGGAGATAAGATAATAGTTTAGTAATATATACATCAGAGATAAGACAATAGTTTTGTGATATATATACTCCGGCTACCCGTAAACTGTCACAATGCCATACCAGTAAGGTTAATTCTTGTAAAACTACTTTTCAGAAGCAAATTTTCCCCATATAACGCAACAGGAGAATACAACGATTGTATTACTATTTGAAAATGGGCGATTTATACACAGCAACACTCTACGAGCTGTGTTGATGTATGGTCACTCTGAATGAGCTAAGCAGGTGAAAGCAACATGTAGTTTACTATGATATGTACACGAATGCGACTCCTCCATGTCATTGCTTCATTTTACTTCTTAATGGCAGATACCACCTCTATTGAAAAAAATTGCAGGTTGGGGGCTCTTATTGAAACCATTGAATTTTGTAGCACAATTTAAAGAACTTTAAGAAATTACTAAAGTTGTACACAATGCGTACTCAAAAATATTTAAAAAGTTATTAACCAAAAATTCTCATATCTATGAATTTGATTAATATTCATCAACGTGATATTAAAAAATATAGTCAGTGATATTTTGTTTGATATGGGCTGGACACAATAAAATATAAAAATGCCTAATCGTAGGTGCATGGCGTACTTAAGGTAGCGAGAAGGGTTTTGTGACGTTTTTTGATTAAAGCATTCTCTGTCTATTGCCTCATTCAGAACCGTAATTTAGCGTATATATTTCAAAAGCCTAAGTATAGAGGGACAAGTTCACACAAAATGGAGAGTCAATGTTCACTTAATTACCACGTGACCACAACAATTGCAAACCTTGTAAAAATGACTAAGTCCTCGATTGCGAGAGCACAATGCGCAATTTCCAGGTGAAATTTGCGCAAGCATTGTCTGTAATCAAGTCCATTGAAATGCGTCTCCGATAATCAAAAGACCTATTCCGATTTCTACGCCGGTTTGTTTTTGTTGTCCCCTAATTATTCCATACTTGACGTCTTTAACAGACTATTATTCTGCAACAAAGCATTTTCTTCAAAAACCCAGACATATTTCGCACTATTTATCTTTTGAACTGCGAGTTTGTCCTAGTTGGAACGCACTTGATTTGGCGGCGGTCCCAATGAGTCGTATGCAATCAAAACTTCAACTCGAGAAAAACGCGAAAAACAGTTTTGGTTAATAAAACACTGTATATTTGCTGCATTGTTATAAAAATACACTAAAAATAGCCAAACATAATAACCACTGATATTATAAAGAGTGTCAGATAATAAATAATTTCAAGCTCGAGCGTGAAGAATGAAGAAAACTGCTGTCATTTGAATCCGTACTCCAGGAACGTTCGGGTTTCCATTGTTATGCAAACGAAAAACGAGGGATAATCCGTTGACAAACATTACTGTTCCACTGTACACGCTGACAGTTTACAAACAAGCTAATCCTTCAATTGTCTCTGATAAGAGATCTAATAAAACGGTTTTCATGGTGAAAGCTTCCGCTATCCAATCACCTTTTTCTCTAGCTTTTGCGAACGCTTGTTGAATTCGACCGGACAATTTCCGCTTCATTTTCGATCGTGCAAACCCCGAAATATCACCGCCCGCTCGCTCGCATTTAAAATTCGGACGAACAAAAAAAAAAATCGATGTTAACATTGTCTTATAATTAATTGTCTTTCTGGTTTTTATAGATGTTGAACAGCTGACAAAAGTTCAAATAATTTTTGTTGTCACGATGTATAATTACCTTTTGACCTCGATTTGGATTGGACTGAATATTTTATTTTAAACAATATTCTGACGTGAAATACAAAATGTATTTCAACACAAGTACGACATGTTGTCTGGGTTATCTTTCTAGATTGTTGAGTCTTCGCAATGTGTTTTGTATAATGAGTGAAAGAAAATATTTCTAAGCCTAAAATAAAACCTAATATTACAATAATAATTTTAATTTTAAATATGTTTTTCGTTGATAATTTCAATTGTTTGGAATGTCTGTCGCCTGTGTCCCAATAATTTGTTTGGAATATCGATCCCCGTTAGTTTCTCCATACTGAGTTTAGGACGGACGTCGATCAACACAATCAGCCGAGACAGAACAAACATTGACCGTAATTCACGGGGATCATGTCCCGTAATTTGTGGGCTGAAACCCCAAATAATTAAACAAGTGTTATTATTAAAATATATATTTTATTTTACATCGCAAAACTAGAACAGAGCTAGAGTTGTTCGCGGTGAAACAACCGCCTTGAAGTCGATGCTACATCAACTAGCCATTTCTTACCTTGAAATTAAAAAAAATTAAAATTCGAAGAACATCGGGGAAAATATTAATAACCATTTTTAGCAATCGCTAGCTTTATTTTATTCGAGTCCATGAAACTCACGAGTTTTTCGACATTTGTTCAACTTCCGCACTAAAAAGATTGTAAATGTGGGTGTGGTTCTTTTGCAAAGTCATATTGATAATATGGACAATTATGGTTCTGTGACCCAGATCGTGCTCCGATCAAGTGACTTTCAGCCAATCAATAATGTTGTAACAAAGCATATTTGATGCTAATTGAAGGGTCGTCGTACCATCTAATCTCCGGCGGTGATTCACATAGTTTTTTGTGCTGTGTCAGGCTTCAAATTATTCGCTGAAAAAGATCGGTATATTTTGACAAGCGAATGGGATTTGACCTTAGTTCAAAAAGAAAATACTAGGCTGAGATACATTAGTTTCCACGGCGAATCAGTTTTTTGATTGAAGTTGTGAAATAAAGTAAACCAAAGTAGAGTCGATGATTTTCAGTCCTGAAAGACTTTCGTGTGAATCCTGAGTTTCTAATTGTTCATGGACTGGCCACTAAATAATTATGGCTATAACTAAATTTGACACCTTTTTTTGAAAACCAATAAATTATTCATACATGTCAGGCTCTGTTCGATTTTTTCAGGGCATGTGGCCGATTTTAGTCGAAAATATTTATTGTGGGAACATTTTTTACGGTACGTATAGACTGAAGTCATTCACTGATCCTGACTTAATTTTGAAATGTCAAATTTTACCAAATCGACCGCCTGTTGACCAACGTGAACTAGGTATCGTTATTTTTGGAAATAATCATTATCATTTCTTCGTTTCTCTGCTCTGTCAAAAGGAGTTATCTATGCTTTTTTCACGTAAATGTCTCATTAAAATAAAATAAAATATTACATCTAGAACAAGCACCCAAAACACGTAACAAGAGGTCCCAATTCAGTTGCTTTCACGATACAAGTGTCATACAACTGTTATATTTGTCGTTCAGAATTTAGAATTTAGTAATAGTTAATACTAGTTGTATGTTCACACTTTACTATCAAAACTATCATTCCGACCGGTCGGACAAGACCGCGTGGTCGGAAATTAAGCGATAAGCGGTCGATGTGAAAGCGGAAGGTTGGGCGAAATTAGTACTGTATGACCATGGTATGACCATGTTTCTCCGACGAAGTCTCAGCTGACAATAATGCTAACAATAGACGTTAGATAAACACGCATTGTTTGCGATAGGAAGCGTATAACCCGTTATATCAGAATCGTCAACAACAGAGTATACAGATAAGATGTTATCAATAAACCGTTCCAAAGATAACCATTATGCAAATATCCACGCAACGGCAGTTGAAGGCTTTTCTGCTAGCGTTTAGAACACTAATTTGAGCAACGTTATTTCGCAGTTTCAAATTTTTGAAAATCAAGAAAAAAGTGAAAATTTTCCTTCTCGCTATCTTAATGAACCCAGAACAGCATACAACCAAAACACGAATAGCAAAACATTGTAATTAGGTCATTGACTCAAATCAAATTAAAAGACAGTTTATAAATAATTACTGTTAATAGACTTCGGTATTATAATATGATTTGGAAAAGTTGGAACGCTATTTCTGATCACCCAATAACAAATACATTTAAAAAGTCATTTCCGTGTCATATACTGCCAAGGCGAATGTAATTAATACAAGTGATTATAATTTCAGATGTTATCATTATTCTTATTTGTACAATCTACCATCATAGTGTGTTTATTTGCGATTTATAGTTGCAGCGAATGCCATTAACGACAAGAGAGTTGGTAGTTTTCCATCGACCCATTGTTTAATGACTGGCATCTGGGCGTTGGTTGATATGCGTGGAAATCATATTGCTGACGCAGTGTCGGCTCCCAAACAACCTTTTCCACTTTGCAAAGCTAACTACTCATTATGTTTCGTACAGTTAAATATTGATTGAGAGTAGGATGGTATTTGCTTGGAATTATTCCCAATGACAGTGTTAAAAAGTCATTGCACTGAAGCCTTATTATCGTGTAACTAGTAAATTGTTATAATAATCAACAGACCACATTACACACACCCTGGTCTGTAGAATGTATGGATGTGGTTACAGTTAAATTTTAATTCAAAAATGAAAAATAGCAAAAATGGATGGGTAAAACAGTCTAGTTAATATCCCTATCGGAGAACTATATCACTATCCGACTATTCTATAAACTCCGCGCATAAGAGGCAGTACAAAAATGCATCAATATAACGAATTCTAATTTAAACCAACATTTATACATAAAATACAAGAACGTATATACTACTGAAACGTACAAGATGAACTTATTTCGGGGTGCAAGGTGGCAGCGTGCAAGACGCACCGTGATGTGTAGCTTTGGAATTCCGG